CCCTCGGGTCACCCCATGCACTAGGAAATTTTTTTCTCAGATACTTTTGTATGCATGATATTTTTTTCCCCCGTACGTGCTTTTCTGGCTCAGTGAAAGTGAATCACTTGACTCTGCTTGGTTACGGATTTAAATTACGAGGAAACCGTGATTTGATAATGGATTTGATACCCTCCATAGATTTTAGACCTCGGTGGGGGTTCCGTTTGGAGCCCCACCGCTTTACGAATTTACAGGCGTTCTAGCTTTTCGTACAGTTACTACAGGTCTGCTCTTAGCGAGACTTCATTCAAGCTCTGGTTGTCAAAACTACGTCAGAAAACAATTTAAAAAACGGTTGTATTAAAGGATTTCAGTGTTTGGAGAAGGTAGAATTGTTTCCTTTTTAATTTTAGAACGCCAGACTGTCAAAATGGCCCCTGAAAGATGAGTATATATATGATGATTTGCAACTTGAAAAAGAACGACACTTAAGTTTACAAGACATGCTCTGACAGAAATAACCGTTATCGTCTGTTAAATTTGAATTGCACTAAATTAACTTTTTTACATTTTTGGCTTTACTCATGCAGTTTCACCTTCTCCTTCCACCCCACCCCACGGCCAACCTCCTTCCCCACCCACCGCTCCATGCAAGAATATGATGAAGTTTTTCATAGATTATAGTCCGTGAGGCACTCTGGGAGAACAAAATGGCGCCTAATAGCACCCGGTAGTGGATCGATGTTTAGTGGTAAAATAATTTGTTTCTTCGCTTATGTAATACTGTTTAGTGACAAACAGAATTAGGTGATAAATTCATTAACCAAATAACGTCAACCAAGAAGGAAAGAGATAACAGCTGAGCTGATAGTAGTTCAATTTCTACCGAGTTCGGCCTCTCTAAGCTGAGGCGACTTCCTTTTGTGAGTTGGCCCTTTGGTTGAACTGGTCCGCAATATTGTGGATCAGCTGGTGACATTTGCGAGACTTACCTCGAAACCACTTGCAGTATTTAGAGAAGTGAGTAAAGAGGAGAGGAAAGATGGCATAAAGGCTAGCTGCTTCCTGTTGAACTAATGGCGTGGTATTACGGAGTTAACGAGTCAGAATTATACGGATCGAATTTCTCCACTGTCCTCGCAGATGCACCGCCTCCGTTAGATGATACTTACGATGAAGACGAAAATGAAATAGTGTTCCCAAACGAACTAAAGAAGTTAAAAAAATTCAACGGGGAAACTATTGCTGCTTCCAGCAAGAAAATCCATTCGAGCGACGAGAAATTCAGTGATAAATCGAAACATGATGGGAGTCGAGCGCCTGAGGGTCAAGGTAGTGTCGAAGAAGATTCCGATTTTGGTGACTTTGCAGGTTTTGCGGACTTCGGCTCTGCATTTGGACAAGAGAACAGCGGAGAGTCGCGAGACTGGTTCTCAGGTGATGAAAATAGCGTGAATTCACCACCAGCTGTGAAAACAGCAACTAGCAACCAAGGACGTGACAATGAAGGCGCCGATTTTGCAGCATTTCCGGAGCATGAGGGAAGTCTGAATCAAGAAAATATTACCAATGGGAGCTGTGAGCAGGGAAATTCAAATGCAAGTGATAGCAAAAAAAATTATAACAATAGTGAAAATAGAAATAATTCAATTAATGGCAGTTACGACATAGATTCTGATGATGATTTTGGTGATTTTGCAAGTGTGGAGAAGAGCACTGGAAGACCTGAAGAGGTCTCCACGGATAGTGAAAGCAAAACTGTAGAAATTCAGCCAGATCTTGAAAGAGAATGTGCGTCTATGGGAAGAACTTGTTCTGAAAGCGATATAAAGTCTGACAGAGTGGATGTCAAAAGTGAAACAAAGACTGTACAGTGTAATGGTGATACAGCTGATAAAGAATTAGTTAGCCATTGTGAAGAATCAACAGTAAACCATACATCAGAGGGTTTTTCTAATGCTGATAAGGGTCAAGACAATGAACTTGGAACAAAAAGGGACACCAACAATGTGGAAAATGTTCCAAATGCTGTGACCAAAGATGAAGAATCAAGGTCATTGGACAAGACATTTGTGGCTGTCCAGCATGAGGAATACCACCCTGGTGATAGTGTTTTGACTGAACCAGAAAGAGAAGATGACAAAATAAAAAACAGTGTGGAGGGTGAGATTTCATCCAGTAACAAAGGAAAAGAACGCTTAGAAAATACTAAGACACCACCAGAATACAAGGAATTAAATGATGATGGTTTTGGAGAATTTGCTGACTTTACTGGACCAATGGTAAAACAACCGTCC